GGGAGCCATCTCCTGGAAGTCTCGGAACCAGGCAACTGTCTCGCTGTCCAGTACCAAAGCGGAATACAAGGCGCTGGCGGACTCTTGCAGGGAAGGTCTCTGGTTGCGCAATATACTCACCGAATTATCTGTCCGACCAAAATCAGCTCTTCCGCTCCATGTCAACAATGAAGGTGCCGAAGCTCTTGCCAATAACCCGGAACACCACGCTAGAACAAAACACATTGATGCCAGATATAATTTTGTTCGCGACTGCGTCAAAGATGGGATTTTTGAGATTGTTCACGTTTCCACGCACGACATGTTGGCGGATATGCTCACCAAACCTCTCCCCCGTGTCCTGCTAGAAAAACACTGTCTCATGTTTGGTCTTGTTTGATTTTGATTTCTTATTTTTCTGCTTCCTTCTCTCTCTTTCAATTTCTCTTCTGCTTTCCAACTATTTTAAGTCAGTCATTAGCAAGGGGGGGTGTTGAGATATCTGTGACATCCCATTTCATTTTGTGTGCTTCTTCCTGATTTCATTTCTACCATGTCACATCCTGTGACATTCACTTGTTTTTCATTTAGTTCTTATACTGGATTCAGTTGTGTTTGGGATGCTTTCTTTTCCTCATCCTTTCCAACACTTTGTCTCCAGGTATGTTCTCTTTTTCCTTCTCATTTTTTCTCTCTTCTCTCTTCATGTTGAAATGAATCATCATCCTTTCCAACACTTTGTCTCCAGTCACCTGAGTTCATCTCAACAATGAATCTGTGAAGTATGATTTAAACTGACTTCCAGCCTTGTGTCTTTTGTTGTAGTTTGCTCGTCAATATGACAGACGTAAGGAGAATCAGAGAATGGATCAAGCTACTCAGACCAACATTGGTACCTTTGGTAATCACAATTCGGTTTTTTTATGAAGAAGAATGATTCAAAATAGCTGGCATGAGAGAATTTATAGACTACTGGATATCATGAATGCTTTAATGCTTTACTTGAATTTTTTACCTCCTGTTCTTAGACATAAATGTAGTCTACTTAGAAGTTTCCAATCAATTTGTGAAAAAAATGTTGATTTGTTTATAAATGATAACTTTTTCCTACACATCTGCTACAATAAAAAATTGATTCCGGTTGAGTTGTTAAACACAAAGCTGGCCCTCTCCTGGCCCCTATCGGTTGAAAGCCCATTTCAGAACTGGCTGAATGCCTGTCTGTCCGACCTCCTCACCGCGCTCTTGGTAGCTGGATCGGCGTCGGCGGAGCAGACCTCGGTTTACACTTTGGATGGTGACGATGACCCGGTTGCAAACCCTCCCCGGGCTCTTCACTGTGCTGACGGTAGTTCACTTGGTGGGATTGGCATCGGGATTGGCACAACCAGCCCTTTCTTTGTTAACACTTTCGAACAAGTCTTCTTCCACTGGCTCGGTTGTGCTCAGCCAAGACATATGACTCGGTCTAAGCCCACAATATTGCATGCCCGACCCAGCTGGTCCGTCACTTTTAGCCACCCACGTTGTCAGCATCAGCGAACAATTCTCAGTCCTGCAAGTTCCTACGCTCTGGACCTTGCCTCATAAACCGTCTCACAATGTTCACTACAATATTTGGAATCAACACTACATGAATAGACGCTAGCTGAGCTTGCGCATTCTTCCAATTCAATCAGCGTCATTTGGGCCCCGAGTAGTGCAGAGTCCTGACCGCTACATGGCCTTACTTACTCTCAACCCGTTCAATTTTTCAAGGCTCTGTTCTTCGCGGGTCCCAGCACCGCGTCAGAATTTTCTGCTAATTACATTGAGTGGACTCTGTGCCGCCTTCTTTCTAGATAGTTTTCTACCTGTCATTGGAGTTTAACGGATTGACCCGGAGGCTCAAATGCACGAAATCACTGACTGTATTAGCTGGGGTAGGTGCGATACACTTTGCGACTCGGTCGACAAGATTGAGACCCGATTCGACCACATATCCCGGTAAACTAAGGGCCTGTACCATAGGGTTCAATTTTGAGAAATTGGATGTTTTTTCTGTCTTTTACACAAAGATCAGGAACAGTTGAAGATGTATTTTGTTGAAATTCTTCACTTTCAGGATGAACACTGGCTTTTAGTCACACTCACTTTTGATGAGATCAAATTTTAAGCAAAATAAATCTTGAAAAATTGAATTTTCATGTCATATGGTACAGGCTCTAAGGTTAAGGAGTCTTATGTGCCCCGCCACAGCGCCCACCGAGCTCATCAGCTTCACAGGGTCTCTGTCCTACACTGCGGTGTGCGCAATCTCATTATGGGATAGTCTCACTGTGACAATGATCTTGCGCACGAATCTGCGTGAATGATGCAATTTTCCTAGTCGCGCTCACCGCTTATCCGCCTTATCTATGTTTCGCAGGTACTGACTGCTGAGCAGCCTTCCAAATTTTCACGCAACGATGGGTCAGCTCAAACGCGATCGTTATCGTAACCGTATCGAATTCTATCACCGCTATCATCTTTAGGTTTGTGAATTGCTCACGATATGGTGATAGATTCATCTTCGTCAGTAGATCAGGAGCCACCAGGGATATTGCGAAGACGACTGGAAAAAGCCGATGTCACGTTTAACAACCAAGACACGTCAAATTTTGTTATCTTTTTGCGGGCTGGGAAGATTAGTTAAGCGCAAATTTACACGGACTGCTGATGACGTTTGCCATGATCATTCCCAATGCCCGATACCAGTGGAACGTTCTATCAGGATTTCTGTGGGGGAGCAGTGGCATGTATCATGAGCGCGGCCCTATTCGGAACCTTGTGAGCCATACATGATACACTTGAGACACTGTGAGGTCACCGATAACAGTGCCAACAGGTATCCCCAACAGTTCCTTCAAGTTTTTTTAGCCGTATCATTTCGGTTTATCAGCAGCCACTCAAATATTCGTAAACCTGCAAATGTCAACCCCTGACATCCTAATGCGAGTTATCCCGACACGTCAAGTCTACCTTATCGTTACAATCAATCACATTTGCCAAGATACGTTCCGATTCCTAACATCAGTGGCCTGTATTATCAGGGTCCCTGTTTTATCATGGCAATGAAATTTTATACACTTTGACCCTCTAGGATACCCTCTCGGCGCTTTACGCAGGCGTAGACCCCAGTCTGGATACCTACGTGGGCGTAAACTTAGGCTAACTAAAGTTACACCCAGCGTAAAGTTTAAGGGAAGTTTTCCGTTATTGCATGACGAAATTCATCGCTGTGAGACTGTGAGTGGCTGGAGACCGGGAGTGCCGAGTGACGTAGGCCGCCAAACAACGTCAAAATTCGGGACTTTCCGAAAAAATGTTTCTGGAATGATCCATCTGCAATAAGATTTTTTGACTTGAGCATAGGATATATCTCGAGAAGCAAATCAACATGGCAGGCGGGTACGCGAGCTGAGCATGAGATGAGCTCAGTATGAGAGCTATGGAAAGTCCATAAATACTGCCCGGCATCGAGGCGTATCTTCTTATCAGCAATATTTGATTTCACATCCTCAAAAACGAATTACTAGTTAATCTTCAAGTGTCCGCTCATGGGTTCCCAAATACGGATCCATTCATTGAAATGGGCTATCTTGGCAACAACCTTTTTAATATACAATATAAGTAGTGTTGTTTCCAATCGCTTCGACGCCTCGCGATCCTTGCTAGCTGAGCAGAGAGATTCCGACCCAGCCATTTGGGATAAAAAGGATGGCTACTCCGCGCTTAAGGAGATTGAAATTCCCCAGGATAGGCAGAGACTTGAATTGAATTCAAGGTACGCAGAGGAATCACGGAAATTCAGACTTTAGATCTTATAATGTTGCCCTCGTTTGATTGGTGGTTGACTCCCGGTGATTTCAGTGTCGAGAGGGGCGTCCCTCTTCAGGTGTATCGAAGAAAACGTATTAAACCAGATTCCCCTTCAGCCGATCAAATTGGAGACCCTAAATTTGCCAAAGCAAGCAGCTCATCTTCCACTAACGAGAAATCCCAAGGACCTGTAAATACGTTGAAAAATCCAAAGGCCCTTTCAGTTAGTCGTTTAACTCACCATTAGATATCGACTGCTTTAGGCTAGAGTATTGACACCGGTTAAATGTGCATGTTTAAGGATTTAAATATCGATGATCAACCAGCGAAGTCAAGCATGCTTCCCACTGATGCGATGCTTTCAACGCAGAAGAGAGTCTTGCGTGAAACTGTTTCAAACGAGGAGGGATCTGAACGCCGAACTATAGGTCGCTGGGCGCCCTCCCGTTATCCTCTCGAAGCTCCAGGGAAACGAGTGGGAAAAGTATATCACCCAGAAATGTTTGACCCTGTTGCTAAGGATTCAGTGTTTAGGTTTGAGATGGAAGAGGAAAAAACTGCTCAAGTCTTACGCAGGGGCTTGAATGGACTTGAGAAAGTTTTACTCCAAAAGCTACCTTGGAAAGCAAGCACTACAACAAAGGAATTGGGACAGAGGTTCGTTCAGATTGAATACCTTCTTACCTTTATGATGGAGGGACCACTCTATCAGCCAAAATCAATCAAATTTAGAAAGATCAGAGCAAAAGCCTTTGTCAGTGAATCAATAAGTTGTTGATACTGTCTTCAAGCGTTTGATTGATAAACTTTTTTTTTTTTTCTACAAACATGCCGCTGAATGATAAAGGCCCATTACGACAGCCAGATCAAGGTACTTGACATGCTTAAACAAACAGTTAGGTTAATGGGTGGCATCCAGGATAGCATCGCTAAGCTCAAAGAATCCACTGAGTTGCCTGAGCTCATGAACACGTTGGAGATTCTCGAAGTCATCAGGCACGGAGCTGTCATACCAGTCTCTCAAAGGCTGGAAACTGAACTGAAAGATATCATCGTCAATTCTGAGGATTATCTTGATCTGGAATTCGCCACCTCTGAGGAAGATGCTCACCATCCTTACGTTGGCTCCGAGGAACCAGAAGCCATTTTGCAAGCGGAAACACTCTTAACTTCAGTCAAAGAGGCTCTTCAGTTGAACCGCATGCCTGAGCAAAAACTTGCAATTGCACAAATACCGTTAGTCAAATTGTCACTCTAAATTAAAGATAATCAATGACTTCCATCGTGCCTCTAATAAATTCCATTACAACATCTCAAATTCCAGTGATAGTACGGATGACTTTTTGGACACGCTACGAAATTTAAAAACATGCCAAGTTGACTTGCAACAGCTCACTTCCTCAACCAAATCTACCGATTTATTTGATCTCTTGGAACATGGCTTAAAAGAATTGAGGCGGAATTTCGACGACAATAGCCCAACCTCGAATTGGGCTGCCAGGCTGGTCAAACAGGGAATGTCAGATGAACAAGTAAGCCCACTTTGAAAAATCCTCATAAGAGCTATTCAAAATATCGTTCTAAGAAACAGTAATCTAACTTACAGAGAAACTTGGATGTGATCTTGCAAGACATGCTGGTGTCGGATGTTCTGGCTAAATTTCTCCATAAGATTGTAGTGCAAAATGAGCACAATCTTGATTTATCATCCTACGAGATCAAGAATAAACCCAGGAAGTATCATGATTTGACTTTATTAATGATTGAGAAACTGCAAAATGTTGACTCCCAAATAGCAAAAAAGCAGTCCAGTGGATTGAACCAGTTCTTCAACGCAGATGTAATGGATGCTATGGCTACTTATGAAATAGAACCAACTCATGCGAGTGACTATTTGCAGGCCTTCGTTGAACATCTCTCAACCATGTTACACAATGGACATGTGGATCAAAATAGTCAAATGGAAGGATGGCTTCAAAATATGAGCAAATATTTCGAAGAGATCCTGGGATACACTCAGGTCCAATTAACACATCAGAAGGCTATCGAACATATTGAAAGCCAACTTCCAATAATTCAACATTCAATTGTTCGTTATAAAAACTCAGATGAGTTTTTGAGTACTGCTTTATCACATCAGGTGAGCGATAATTACAAAGAAACTCTGATAAGAATACTTCGTTCAAATTTTTTTGCATAAGGCTGATTACAGGATGGTTGGATATCTGAAAAATTTGACTTTTTCAGATTCAAGGATGGTTGAGAGACATTGGGTGGATGAGATTTTCTTTTCTCAATAATCAAGAGTCATCTACACTTCACACCGCGGGTCAATCGGACAAAACGTCAGTGGAAATAAGATTTGAGTCTCAAGCAGAAAGACTTGTCAAACAAATCAAAGCATTCCATCAGAAGTTGGAGAGCCTCATTTATAGAGACTCTCATCCCTCAAAGGATATGAATGGCCCCTCTGGCCACTAGAGTAGAATCGGAAAATTAAATCCTCAAAAATGGCTAACTTTTGTGTCCTTTTCCTAAAGATTAGCCTCTGAATAAATATCAAAAACACAGAAACAAGACCAAACCCCATCCCAAATTGACTCAATCAAATTTTTCCTAGTTTTATCCTATCTAAAAGTTTAAAGGGAAAATAGATTATATTAATATAGCATTATAAATGAATGTTTGGACTGCAATATCAAAGCAGTTGTCAGACATACTCATAAATATGAAACGTTCTGCACCTGCCTGCATCCATGACAGTCCACCTGTAGACTGTTTTGTTGTTTTTCTCATCAGATTACAACAAGAATAAACCTTGAATGAATAGCTTATTGTATCCAAAAAAGATACTGCACAGAATTGGGAGAATTACTTCACAATAGTACATTTCCAATATTCTGCTTTTTTCTCTTTCAACCCCCAAAAAATATACATGAGATTGATGTTTAGAATAGTTGATCTCTGCTCCACATCTATACTAGAAGACTACTTTATTCTACAAAAGAATCAAACACTGAATTTGGATGACATACATACTTCACACTAGTTCATAGTTCATAAGTTTTACCTCTGGTATAGAAATATGTAGAAATGGTTGAAGGTATATTATAGAGATTTGCATTCTTTATTTACAATCTATAACTAAATCAAATTGATGGAATCTAAAAACAAACTTGACTGTACATGTGAGGAGCAGTATTGTTTGATTGGCAACATTAAATTGAGATTTTAGTTCTACATTCCATGAAATCTAAATTGTTCAATGAATAGTGAAAATGGTTTACTATTTTTTGGCCCGTGCAAATTGAAATTATGGTACATTCAGAAAATTCCTTTTGTTTTCCCAAGAGAATTCAATCATCACTCTCTACCTCAGCAGATGCCAAGTGAGGAAGCCTAGTGATAGTCAAAACATTTCATTGTTCAAGATTTTATAACAAATTCCTAGCAGGATTCAGCTTCCACCACCTTCCAGAAATGAGTTACATTAACTCTTTCTTGGTAAATATGATGGCTTTGGGCATACAAAAAGAGTGAACTATTTGAAAGTCCTCTCAACAACCAACAATGGGTTTTTGAACTTTCAGTAATAGTGGATCAATAACCTGATTGCTGATTCATGAGATGTGTTGTTTGATTCTCACAGTTAAATTTAGAAGAAAAACAGAAACAAATCTGAACAGGACCTAGAAACAGAAACATCTGCATTTTGTGCCTGCCCTCCCTCTAGGGAAGGGAGGTCCTCCAGGGGTGGGAGGGAAGTTGGATAGTACTGGAACCACATTTCAATCCTTTGCCCCCCCCCCCACCAGGAGGAACTCACAGAAAAGCATGCTTTCACTGAGTGACTCCGCAGTAGGGACCTATGTGATGCAGTGATCTTGGGATGAGAGCCTAGGGAAGCCAAATATGCCAATTTTGAATCATAAATCCATAAACATCAAGCTTCCTGCCATGTTAATTGATTCTCTTTTGGGTGGAAATGAGCCTTCACAGGCCTAGTCCTTTGCTTTAAAAGGATGCACTGAAAAGGGTGGATTGTCAAGAACATGCTTTGTTTGCCCGCATATAACTTGCAATTTCTAGGTCTGGGAGGGAGACATAAGATACAACTTACAAGGAGACCACAGAAGATATCCTAGCTTGTGATTCTCATTTTGAAGATACAAATAAATTACATGAAAAACTGTGTTCTACAGCAATTAGGGCTCTCAAAGTTGAAGCATACAAACATACACCATGGGGCGGGTTTTTAGAAAACCCCCCCAGCAAACGGATGGTTTCTGTCCCAAGAGCCCGCGACTTGGTTGCGAAGCATCCAACGGATGCTTGGGCACGCCTGGCATGATTTGGACGCTTCGGAAAGTGTCCAAATGATACCAGGCAGTGGAAACCATCCAGAGGATAGCTAGGAGACCACTATCCGTGGGACACTCTTGATTGGTTGTCCGATGGACAAAAGGAAAACCATCAATTGGACACTTCTCAGAGTGTCCATTTGATGGTTTTCGCGTGGGTCCACAGTTGAAAAAAATTGGTCGATGGTCGAAAAATAGGCTTGGAGGGTGGTTGATGGTCGGAAAACCATCCAAAAATGCATCTGGGGGGATATGTATAATGCTTGTGTGAAATGGGAATGGAGCCACATAGTGTAGTGGTCAGGTGCTCTCTTCTGCATGTGGCTGGTGTGATGTGGCATGGGAGGCAGGTTTTCAGTTCAATCCTGCCTGTTAGTCATTTTTTGTGCCCAGAGGCTTCCAAGCCTACCATCCGATGGATGGTTTGGACCTACCATCCGGCTTCAGCAAAATGCAAAGTGCATCCGATGGATGCTCCTTGCAGGGCCAAGGCCGGATGGCATCTGGTACATCCGATTGGGTGTCCAAATGCCATCCACCACGCCCGGTGGTGTACATACAAGACTACATATGACAGCATACAACACATAAGCTGTTTTTCTGCGGGGGAAGTCGGGGGTATGCATCTAGAACGGGGTTTGTTGCACGGGTATGGATTAGCACATGGAAAAAAAGCTATGTAATTGTGTATGTACGGGAGTATGTACAAGCCGTATGTCAGCCCGATTTCAACTTTGAGAACCCTAAATAGTACCACAAAAAGGCAGCTAGAATCAGCTCTACATGGGAAAAAATCACCTGTAAGACATGAGTCCCTCCTGTGGAGGCACTCACACTGCAAGCCAAGAAGCTTTGGTAGCTTTTAAGTTCAGCTTGTACCCCCAAAGCAGGATTTGGCTAAATTGGATTTGAATGTGTTGTTTTGTGGAGTGAGATTAACAAATGAAATATCACAGCTTAAGAAAGATGTTGTAGATGCAAACATGTATATATCTGTGTGCACTATATGCTATACCTATATTTCATAGGTATATATTTCTTTAAAAATAACATAAGAAATGACCTATTTGAGACTGCAAAACACTTCTCTTTTTTTTTCTTGACAGAGCAAGAAAGAGAAGGGGAAAGAGAAAGGGGAAGAGGAATATATCTAATAGGAAAACTGGCTTGACTAATTCAAATTATACAGATCAAAAACTTGGAGGGGAATAGGGAGAGAGAGAAATGATAATGAGAAAAACTCATAGCACCACATTGATGAAAATTGAGACCATAAAAACAGTTCACTTGTATGTTTTCTTCTTCTTTTTTTTTTTTTGGTCACTGAATAATAATTTCTGGAGCTTTTCTTTACAGTAGAATATAAAAGAATAAATTTTCTCAAGTCACGAGTTGGTGGCAATGTGTGAAAGATAAAGATTAAATTTTGGGAACTGTAGTTGGAAGAGAAAGATGGAATATTGAACAGAAATAAAAAAGAAAGGAAAAGGAAGAAACTACTAGTCAGTCAAAACAAGAAAGATTGTGATATGTAGGTAGGGAAAAAAGAATAAGACTGCTTGCCTTTGAAAGTTTTGGAAAGCATCAAGAAACCCCATCCAGCAAATGCGAAACTGAACCAGTGAACCTGAATGCCAAATGAGTTTTTGACGAGGCCGCCCAGGAGTTGATTACCATTAAGATGAACGTTTTTGAGCCAGAGAGAATTTTCAGGATTGATAGAGAGGGCAGAGTTGTGATCGGATAGAAGATGTTGATAGATGAGCGGGAGTTGGATCTGGGCGCGTCTGATAGACTCATACATGGCGGCGACCAACGACAGACTGGTGGGGATCGGGAGACCTTCGAAGGAGTTTGAGGCGTTCTTAGCCCCAGTTTTCTGGGGCGGCTCGTCGATTGCTCTGATCCGTTGATTGAAAGCAGCGGTGGAGTTGAACCTGGCCAGCCTGGTTAGACCGGCACAGACGAAGAAGGTCAGGATCAGGACATCGGTGGGGTGGCGTAGACCGATCGTGAAGCCGACGAGCGCGGGTGCAACACCGAACGAGATCAGATCCGCTAGCGAGTCTAACTCCTGTCCTAGCACCGAGGACTCCCCCCTGAACCGCGCTACCTTGCCATCCAGAAAATCAAATCCTAGCGAGAAGATCGGTAATAAACACGCCCGCTTTAGGTGCTCCAGATCTAACGTGATCAGGAAATACGCCGAGGAAAATATCGAGAGTGAGCCGCATACGCCGTTGAAGATCGTGATCAAGTCCGCTAGTCGAAAGTTCCTGTTGATTTAGCCACATGTCCATTTTTTGGGGCGGATAAAATTCTTCATCAACTGATTATTATCTATCATCATGTTCATGTTTTTTTCCGACAGATAAAGTGGTCTTGTTGGAAGGTGAAGAAATAGCTCGGATGGCCGATTTTTTAAAGGAAGAAGAGGAGCGGAACATACCTGAGTAGACTGAAGTGGCGGTCATCGTTCACGAACTGTTTGAGAGCGACGGTGACCGGATCCTGATCTGTTCTGAGTCCAACATCAGCTGAAGGATAAAGGTCGCTGGAATGTTTATGTGAGGCAGTGGTGGTAGTCGTACTCCGATTGGCGATACTCTCCCGTCTGGAGTTATCCATGATCACTGGATTCACCGTGCTTGGGGGGTCGACCGGGGTGGTGTTCGCTGATAGTGGGGCGGTTTCACCCGGTGCTGAGGCCGGTATCGTCATTTCTGGATTCGTCCCTGCCAGTTCTCATTCGAATCGGTCGTCAGCATCCATCATATTTCTGTAGTGTATATGGTTATATTATAACAATACATTAATCAATCTGTTTACCTGGCATCGGTCTCGGGGATACTCTCTTGACCAAACGGTGTCGGCTGTCTCGGCTCGATTGGAAGCCCTTCCGTTACTGGTCGATCTGGAAGGAACAGGGGGGGGGGACTGTCGGTAGGAAAATAAATTGGATTGGCTTTGTAAGGTCAATCGATTCGGAAACTAATTATATGTGGATGTGATGACGTAATCCGATCCCCACAACACAGGACGGCTTATGTAATCATTCTCGATTTCACTCCCAAGTTAGAGCTCTCAAGTCAGGACACTTCCCCTTCATATTCTCGACTTCTTCCCAACAAGAAAGGTTTTATCTATCAAGTTGTGCGCGCGTGTGTGAATCTGCACACGAAGCCCAGACATGCGTACCATGTGCTCCTAAATAGTACTCAGCATGTGTAGCCCATGGGGAGAAATGATACATTCACCACACAAAGGTGTGAAGGGAAAGCACAGCTAATTCAGTCAAGGGTCACACCTAAGAAGCGCTCTAACATGGGCACAAGAAATCCTTGTTCAATATAAATTCAGAGGATAAACAAAAAACAATCAAACAAGCTCAAGCCACCATGGTGGATGCTAAGAGCACTGCCTGTTTTGAGATCATGGCTTCCAAAAGGTTCAACCAAGGATTATCAGATGGCTTATCATTGTTCTCAAAATCACCAAGCAACACAATCACAAAGTGCCAAGACAGGTGAGACATATAATTTTTTGGAATAAATAAAATTGCCCATCCTTTGTGATTTGAATTTGAATCTCAAAGTAGCTAATAGCTCATATAATAAGCTCATGCCTGTAGATGAGATACATCCTTTGGAGTGGTCCATGAAAGTTTATCCAAGGCATTTCAGAGTAGCTAGGTTTCTTTTTGAATCTATAAAAGAAACATCACAATGATCCATCAAAAATTCAGGGAACTCAATCATTTTGAAGATTAATTGTTGTCACATTGTGTATACATCATCATTTTTTCTTTCCCTTTTGGAGTCCCAATGGATTGGATGTTATGTGAGACATATCAAAAAACCTTGAATATATTCAGAAACTGTTTCTGATAAGAAAGATGTGATAAAGAAGAGGAGTTTCATTTCAGGATTGAAGGATTCCACTAAAATTGCACGAAGTGTAAAGAATCTGTGCAATTTGAAGGAAGGATGAAAATTGAATTGATGGAGAAAAATGTAGATCTATATGCAAATTAATGATGAATCCTAAATTCAATCAATCCAGGAGAAGTCAGAGGAGGCTTGGAATGACTAGAGTGAGCTCTTGGCAAAATAATAAGCTTATGATGTGCAATTTGTACAATGACAGTGATTTAGGGTTAGGGTTTGGGGTTATGGGCTAGGGAGGGGTAAGGGCTTGGGGGTTAGGGTTAGGAGTTAGGGTTAGGAGTTAGTGTTAGGGGTTAGTTTTAGAGTTTGAGATTAGGATTAGGATTAGAATTACAATTAAAGGAGCTGGACGAGCTGGTTTTGATAGGGATGTGGGAGGGTTAAAGTCACTGAGACCCAATGGGGTCATAACAAGGGAAATTGGTTGATCAAAGTGAGAGAAAAATTCAGAGGAAAGCTTGGTCACTTCACCAAATCCTTCCAAGCTGATCATTTTATGCGGTTAGTGATGATCAAGATATGTTGTTGGAAAAAAATTGAACCACAACAGCCCCCATTGTAATTCATCTTTCTTTCACTTCTTTCTCTTCATCAAAGTTCCAAAAGTAATTTTCTTGATTCATATTTATTGAATTTCAATCAGTATTTATGCACTGCAAGGAAAATTTGTGCAACTGTTTGCAGTTGACATGCAACTTTACAAAGGCACCTTTGTAATATCACATGTCAACTGCAAACAGTTGCACAAATTAGTGGGATTCAAAGTTGATTTTCAAACAGGATTCTACATGAATCCACAAGGTGAAGAGGTTCAGAATTTCAGTTTTCTGGAACTTCTGGTTCCTCTTTGATGAAAAACAGGAAATATAATTGATACTAGAACCAGAACTTCAAAGACATAAAACAAGTGTTAGAAAAACAATTTTAATTTAGATAGAAAAGAAACAAGAAAACATAACAGAAATGAATAAGAGATTTACCACGATAATAGTTTATTTTTGAATTAGACAGAGTAGAAAGACTGAAGAATACAAGGTCAAACAATGACAGGTAGTAGACACTGAGTTGTGAGAGAAAATAGAGACGAGAAAGGTTAATCAAAGTTTATGATAAGTGAGTTCAATGAGAGACTTTTTTCTCACCAAATTGGCAAAAGCCAAGTGAGAAGATCGAGAGAGAGAGAGTCGGAGGAATTAAGAGGAGAGAGCGCTGAGTCGAGGATGAGACAATGTGTAGTTGACGTTGGCGCGAGTGAGCAAGGAGTGATAGAAGGGAGAGAAAGTAGAGGAAGAGAGAAGAGAAGAAACGGAGCCGAAGTGCAAAGTTGAGAGGAATGGTGGAAGAGTGGAGTTGTGAGGAAGATGTTGAGGGAGTAGTCAAACAGTATTGGAGCGAGGAGGTTAGTCAATCAAGAATGTCAATGGTTGATCGAAGAGAGTGACGGAGGAGACTGTTGAGGGAAGTTTGATTGCAGACATTGAGTTGGGTTTTTATAGTAACTGTTGAGAGGGTCGGCTTGTGGTTGAGAGCGATGAATGGGATTTGAGATGTTTGGCATGTGGTTGAGAGCGATGAAGGAGAGTCGGGGTTAGGTTTTGTTTGGAAGAGAAGGGAAGAAGAGAGTGAGATGGAAGTGAGATGGAAGAAGTGTTGAGGAGAGAGAATACAGCACAAGAGAAGAGAGAGAGCGGAAAGGGAGCGGCGCGGAGAGAGAGAGAGAGAGAGAAAAGAAGAAAAGAGAGAGCGGAAAGGGAGCGGAGAGCGGAAAGGGAGCGGAGAGCGGAAGAAGTACAAAAGAGAGAGGGAAAAGGAGCGGAGAGCGGAATAATTCCAACACCCCCCTCAATTTGGTGAGAAAAGGACTAAAAAACATCTTTCTTTGAGTCTTTTGAGTGATTGATGATTGCTGGCTTTAGTGAGTGCGTCCGCAATCATTTCTTCAGAAGGTATGAGTTTGACATTGATTTGATTTGATTTCTTGAGATCTCGGAGCCATTTTGCTTTGATATCCAGGTGTTTTGTTTTGGAATTTGAGCCAAAGTTTTTGATCTTCTCAACTAAACCCTGGTTGTCAACATGGAATTCCGTCGGCTTCAGCTTTTCCTTCCAAAGTTCTTCAACTAAGTATGTGATCCACTGGTTTTCTTCAGCGCCGTCAGACAGGGCATTCATTTCAGCTTCGGTTGATGAGAGCGTGATATTTTTCTGTTTTTTGCTGCTCCAAGACACCGGGCAAGATTTCCAAAAGCATATGGTTCCGCTTCTTGACAGACGAGTTTCCAGATCATCCGCCCACGTAGCATCAGTGTAGTACTCTAGCGCAAGAGATTGGTCGGAAGAGTCAGGAGTGAGATTGAGACTGAGGTCTGAAGTGCCGGACAAGTACTTCCAGCAATGG